TCTGTACCAGTGTACATCCTCTGGTCTAGCCAGATTTGTAAGGTAGAATTGGGATCATGATGGGGGGTGGGGGAGGAAGCATTTAGGACCTAGAGGAAAGTTGTATATTTCATTACGCTGCACTGCACCCTGACTGGCTGGTCTCCCCGAGACCTTTCTGCAAGGGGATGTCCAGTTGCCTACAGATGGGCTTTGCGTCCCCACCCTGCACTCCCCCTCATTCACAATGATATGATTTTTTGTTCTTTGGTGCCTGATACCTCATCCCTTCGACACCTCATGATCACACAGACTGGTGTGCTTCTTCCATGTCGGCTTTGTTGCTTCTGAGCTAGATGGCCACTTCTTTGCCTTTAAGACCCCAGACACTATATCTTTTGATAGCCAGGCACCATTAGCTTTCTTCACCACATTTGCTTATGCACCCATTTGTCTTCAGCGATCCTATAGGGGATAAAATAAAAATTTAAAACAAATGACAATGAATATCTGGAGCATTGCTTTTATTTTTATCCTTTTTTGTCGGGGGTGGGGAATATTCTTATTAGTTGCTATCAGGTCAATTTTAACTCATTGTGAATCCACCTGATATAAATGAAAATTACTTAGGGGAGAAACCTTAGGGGGTAATATTGGATTAGTGGGATTTGAGCATATATACTTTAGTTCTTGTTTTCCAGATTACTATAAACGATCAAAACTCAGAATTTCTACAAGGAATTTTAAAACTTTTAGAGCAGAGGGCTCTGAACCAATAGCCTTTCATTACCTACTTATGAACGTAAGGTATGTTTGTCATGTACTGTCTTTGATCCTGGCCCTATTCCCAGGAACTGACGGAGAATGAATGAATGAAAAAGCAGCAGCGCTCCATGTCCTCTTGGAGACCACATGATGTTTACTGGATTATATTTCAGTGGAAACTTGATGTCCCAGCTAATCTAGTCAAAGGATGGTGCAGTATTTACATCAGTGCAGTGGAAAGACGTGGGATCCTTGGGACAGAGGGTTTTTAGAAGTGTGGAGAGTTGGAGAAACAAAGTGTAGTTGCCATTGAATTGGTTGTCAGTCCTGATGACCCTAAAGGTGTGATTAGAACGCTACTCCCCAGGGTTGTCCTTGGCTGATTGGTTTGAGGTTTTTGTTTGTTTTTTAAGTAGATCATCAAGTCTCCCTTTTGGGGCACATTCAGGTGGATTCCATCCTTTTAGCCTAGTAGTCAGATGTGATAGCCATGTGTACTACCCGTGATTCTTAGGGCCAGGGCTTCTTTCATTGCACGTAAACTTCTAGTGAACACGTTTTTATTTTAGTCACCTTATCGTAGCTCACTTAGGAGATTATGCATCCCTTGATAGTTTGGTAGTAACGAGTTTATTACCGTGTACACTCCAGCATAAGCCGACCCAAATATCAGCCAAGGCACTTAATTTGACCACAAAAACTGCATTAAAAATGTGCTGAAAAAACTCAGTTTAGGCTCCCTCCCATCACCCACCTCGCTGAGCTCCGCAGCTCCCTCAGTGGCTGTCGCCATAAGAGACGGTTGGAAGGGCGGTTGGGAGCGCTACCTGAAGCCAGGGACAGCTCCCTTCTCACGACCGCGCCGTGGGCACCGGAGCTGCCATGACTGTCTCCCAACAGGGTATCTGAAGTAACGGGGGCATTTCGATCAAAAGGTATTGAGATGGATTGGGTTATGAAACATAATGGTCCAAATGACGCTCGCGGTGGGACGGTACGACTTCGTGGGCTGCCATTTGGTTGCAGCAAAGAGGAAATAGTTCCGTTCTTTCAGGGGTTGGAAATGGTGCCAAATGGGATAACATTGACGATGGGGAGAGGCACAGGGGAGGCCTTTGTGCCGGTTGGAGATAGCAGAAAACGCTCTGGGGAGACACTAGGGAAGAATAGGGCACAGGTAGATCTTCAGAAGTAGCTGGAGTGAAATCAAAGGATTTTATGACTCACCAAGAAGATTGCTGGGACAGTGAGCGGCACCACACGACAGACCAATAGGAAGAAGAGGGGTTATTATGGAGCTGGGAGTGGGAGTATGTATGACAGAATGCGACGAGAAGTTGATGGTGGTTAGGGAGGTTTTGATGACTATGGTGCTGTAATAATGGCTATGGAAATGACGGCTTTGATGGCAGAATGAGAGGTGGAAGAGGTATGGGAGGACATGGTTATGGTGGAGCTGGTGATGCCTGTTCAGGTTTTCATGGTGGTCATTTGTGCATACGAGAGGGTGGCCTTTTCGTGCAACTGAAAGTGACATTGCTTATTTCTTCTCACCACTAAACCCGGTACGAGTTCATATTGCTATTGGAGCTGATGGCAGAGCAACAGGAGAAGCAGATGTAGAGTTTGTGACACATGAAGATGCAGTAGCTGCCATGTCTAAAGATAAAAATAACATGCAGCATCGATACATTGAACTCTTCTTGAATTCTACTCCTGGAGGCGGGTCTGGAATGGGAGGTTCTGGTATGGGAGGCTATGGCAGAGATGGAATGGATAATCAGGGCGGACATGGATCTGATGAAAGAATGGGAGTGGGGAACAATTACAGTGGAGGATACGGCACTCGCGATGGCTTGGGTGGTTATGGCCATCGTGGTGGCGGCAATGGAGGGTACTATGGGCAAGGTGGCATGAGTGGAGGTGGATGACGTGAAATGTACTGAGTCGTAACCCAACAACTTAAGTCCTGGCAACGGCATCTGGTCTACTAGACTTTCTTCCAGATTTAATTTCTTTTGTATTTTAAGAACTTTATAATGGCTGAAGGAATGTTTTCAAAGATATTATTTGCTAAAGCTAAAGATTGTGATGAGAAAATGTTTTCTGTAGGTTTTATTTGTTGCATACTTTGACTTAAATACATTTTTATATTAAAATACTCAGTTATCCTCGAGTATCTATGGTAGTGTGTTATGTTTTTGTCTTCAATTATTAGTTTTTAGAGGGTTTTCTTCCTAACCTCAGTTAATACTTTTGCCTGGAATTTGCTGCAAAATTAGAGGTGGGATGATGAGCTCCAGCTGGTTTTGCACACCAGGAGGTGTAGCACGTTGTCCCAGAGGATGCCTCAGGTTGATTGCTATTTCCTGGGTAAGTTGCAAACAACCTGGTGGTTAGATACTTTTCTGCACCTTACCCTGGTTATTACAAAATTGAGGCGTTTGACATCACTTGTGTAACAAGATGACCTACCCAGGTATTGCAAAGGAGGCTCCAACTTCCTACTGATTAGAACCAGGAGATAGCAAGAATGAAATGGGAGATGTCTTTTGTTGTTGAGGCCATTGGGATAGTAGAAACGTGGCCTTTCTCCTCTGCCCACTCCAAATATATCCTAGACTTAGCCCATCAACTCTTTTGACCTGTCTGTGATGGACACTTTCGTAGAATACCAGTTTCTCCAACCTTTTTTCTGTCCTTGTATGTGCTTCCTGCTAGCCTTTTTTCAGGTGAAAGCTATTCATGGTGAAACGCTTACTGTTTCCTTTTCCACCTTATCCATCCAGGAGCCCGCCTCTACTGTACAAACTACATTTTTTTCTTACTTGTTTTTGCTGCGCTAAGGAATTTGGTTTTATCCTGCCAACCAGGTAGGTAAGTAAGCATAGATTTAGTTTGGTGTGAGTCTAGACTCTTAAGGGTGCCTGATTTGGGGATCATCACTTAAAATAGAAATTGTAATTTGTAGGTTAGTTTTCAATGCTCATAAGGACTCAAATGTAAGCTCTTAGGACAGTGCAAGCACACGGAATTATTGCATAACTATTAGCTATCATCTAATATTTCTTTGCTGTTTTTAAAGGATGTAATTTCTCCTTAGATACAATATTTTATAATGTAATGGGGTCAACGAGTCCCTGAAACGATTCCATGTGAAGTACGTTAAGGTCAGATCCTTAACAGTGGCGGCAGCAGCAGGAATAGCTTTGCATTCTTGGAACTGGACCTTAACAAAAGCCTTTGAGGTGAAATCCACAAGAATTTGTTCATTTCTCATTTTAAATGTGGAAAGAACCATTTCCCTTTCTTGTTTATATTTCTTTTAAAGGTTGTTACATTATCCTTATTTTTAAAACTTCATATATAATCCTGCCACTCAAAGACTTCAAATATTGTCAATTTTGCTGATGCCTTTCAGTCTGTAATAGTATAAAACATGTTTTAACAGAATAATATCAGACTATTATTAATTAAACAAAATATTAAGCATAATGTTACTTATTCCAGGCTGAAACTTTGTCTACCTATTTAATGCTATCTAATTAAAGATTGCTATGAGGTTTTTAAAAAAAAAAAAGTACGTTAAGGTATTGTTTGTCATTGGCATTTTTTTTATTTTTTATTTTTATTAAAAAAAATTTTTTTTAACGTTTTATTAGGGGCTTGCTTATACAACTGTTATCCCAACCCATACACACATAGTTGTGTAAAGCGCATTTGTACATCGTTTCTCTATTTTTTATTTTTTATGGAATTTTTTTGTTGTAGTAATTTGACAATATGTTGAATTAAAAATTTTTAACTGTTTAAAGGTGCTTCGA